CCCCAAAACCCCAAAACCCCAAAACCCCGTTGGAGTTAAAATCGAAATTTTGAATTAATTGATTTTTGAAAGTATTAAAAATATAAACTAAGAATGGGTAAATGTATGTCTAAAAAAGCAAATAATGATCTTATAAACCAAGATTCCATAAATCATCCTATTCCAAGACTTTCTCCTAATTAACTTGATTAGAACAGTTCTAAGAGCAAAACCCTAAATACTTAAGGAATTCGAAATCAAACATAGGAGCGTTCATTAGGAAAGAAAGATGTTGACTTCGACAATATTGGAGTAGGAATAAATATTACTTAGAATAATCAACATATGCACAGCAATAATTAGAACAATATACAGGTAGTGACAAATAATATGAAGGATTTGTTAACTCCATTGTCAATAGTATCTCTGAATACACAAGAACATAAGGAAAATGCGATTGAACTATTTTAAAAGAACAAGGAAGTTAATCCTGGGCCCAGTAATGGTTTGAGTCAAAATAATTTTGGGTAGCCTATCAATAATATGAACATCAATAATCATATCAATAATGCTGTTATTGAATATGGCGATGAAATCAACTTAGAATTCAAATCAAGCTGCAGTGATGATGACTTATCAAACAAGGTAGCACTTGATAATAAAGATGCAATTTATAAAACTTCTGGTACTGGAAGCAAGCCACGTTATCCGCAAGGATCTCAAAATGGTCCACTAAACAAGTTGCAGGGAGTAAATTCTCATAATATTTAAATCATCTAGCAGCAAAACCATATGATCAATCAGCCTAGAAAACCTTCGAATATTATCAAAGGTAAGGAGCTTACTACAAATCCACAGTTCAGAGTTGGAGCTTAATATAGCAGTGGGAATATGTCCCAGCAACAACAATAGTACTTTTAAATGCCAAATCAAACACATCATAAGACATTTGGTACTTAGAGTATTGTGCAAACGTAAAATTAGCAGACCCTGGTGCATCATAACCCCTTTTAGCATTAAGAAAGCTTATATGTTGCAAATAGCGCAATATTCTAAAATTCTGAGGTTCTCAGAAATACTCTTTAAAAAGAGTTACAAAGAAATCAGCATTAAATGAATCTAATTGGAGGGTCTAGCAACAGTGTTTCAATGGGTAAAATAGTAAGTGGTACTTACTAGCCCCATCCAACTGGTGGAAATAGTGGTGGAGAATTTTAAAGCAATTAAGTAAGTTTGGGTAATTTACCACCTTTGAATAAATAGGATGCTAAATTAATTAAGGGGGCTAATAAAGGCCAGGTTTATTAGAATACTTAATCTCAAGATCATAAAACGATTATCTAAAATTAACAATAATAATAGTAACTGATCATCTAGAACTCAATAGAAAGGCAAATGCTAATAAAATATGTAATTACTTGGAATGAGTTAGCAATATCTTATCAATAAAATGGGATGTTTTTAGAATCACTAGAGTGCTATCAAACAGCAATTATAATCTATGAAAAACTATTGATGTATGGCCACATTTAGTTCGCACTTGGAGATTATATACTCTCAAAACTAATGATATTCATTGATTAGTATATTACGACAGGTAGTATTATGAATGCGACTTCAGATTTTACAAGTCCTTTAAGCAAGCTTCATGATGATAGGATTCAAGAAGAAGATTGCAATGAAGAACTTTATAGAGAAATATTAGTGAGTAGTCAAAACAGATATTCGCATCCTGATTACAATGGTGAAAAGTTAGATACAAGCTAAAATCAACAGTTTCATTAGCACTATGGACTAAGAAACTGCCTTGAATTTTTACAGTAATATTCTTAATTTGAACTTTATGTAATATAGACGAACAGACAGCCAAGAGCTAAATATTTACTAGTACATTGTAGCCATTATATTTCTCATACTAAAAAAGAAGCCTAAAAAGGTGAGAATGAACCTGAAACAAGTAACTGAGATAATTGACAAATCAACTAGATTCAATAAAGTGCAAAAGAATCATTTTTAGCAAATTCTACAAATTTTCCAAGTTTTGGCTTAAAATCTTGAGCAGTATATTCAACAAGACACGATGCTAAGTTCTAGAAACCCTACTGGGGAAACGGGTGGTAGTAATATCAAGAAGTCTTTTAATCCAGCAATATAACTCAGGACATAAGATCTAGGCTATTAACAGTTATACAACATGTTGTTGAAAAGTCTATAAGGAAAATTAATTGATTAAGACATTAAGGTGAGGGTTTTTGATTTTCTATAGAGATAGGTAAGAGATAAATAAACTGAATTTCTTGAAGATTAAGTCCAGTTAGATGAATAATAGTACAATTCTATAAAGTCTCTTGCAGAGCCGCAGTACCATCAATAGTTTTATCTAGAATCTGAATCACTTCTAGAGCTACTGCGCTCACAAAACATAGTTTAATCTCATACTATAAGATTATATGAAACCTTACTAAAACTAGCTCATATTATCAGAGTATGGCTACTCTTGCCTTAATAAGCTCTATTTTTCTATTAATAAGCTTTGGATTGTGCTAGTAACTCAAGCTATGTTAATTAATCTATGTCTTAGTACTTACAATCTTAAACCTACTTTTTTATTGGGATAACATTGAGGGCTTTGCATCAGCCTGATGAAGCTATTAAATCTTATCAAAAGGCACTTGAAATCAATTCACTTTACTCTGATTGCTATTTCAATCTTGGGAATATATATTTTGAGGATAAAAATGACCTAACCAAAGCAGAAATCTGTCATAAGAGTGCTCTAGAAAGTCTTGAGGAAAATAAGAAGATAGAAATGTATAAAAGGCTTGAAGAGGAGCAAAATTCTCCCAATGTTTAAGTTACTGATCCAAGTTAGCATTAACAACCAAAATCTATCATCACTTTTGGCAGAGTTTGCAATATGATAGGAGAGATCAATAAAAAGAAAAATGACTATGAAGCAGCAATCAAATTTTATCTAAGAGGTATTTCGTAAGAGCCAAGCTATTTGGATAATTATGTTGATTTGGCTGATATCAGTGAATTACTCAATGAGACTGAGATAAGTAGACTATTTTTCATATTTGCCAAAGTCATCTCTTAGATTAATGAAGGGGCCTTAATTACAGAGCAAGGCATGGAAGATCAAATTTTAGAATAGGATGATTGGAATTCCTTGACTGAGTCTGTAAGCTAATTAAGGCAAAGGATAGCGCAGAAGAAGATAGCCTCACACTTCCTTAGAGCAATAAATGTACTATAGAGATTGATCGAAAAGTATATTAATGAGGTTGAAAAGATGAGTTAGCAAGTAAAGTCTGATTATCAGGAAGTAAACTTATCGCCTCTTTAGTAACAAATTATCGTTGATGATGAGATAAACAAAGTCGCTCACAGAATCTTATCAAAATTTTTCAATAACATCAAGGTTTTATGAATGGCTATAGAACACTACTTAAATCTACTCAATGAAAATATAAATGCAAATAATTTTTCTATTAATGGACTAAACTTAAAAATTATAATACAAACTTATTTGCTATTTATTTTATCTATTGGGGTTTTGGGGTTTTGGGGTTTTGGGG